TAATATTGTAATGTCAGCTGGGTAAAGGAAGGGGTGGGGAGGCCAGAGCTAGTCTTTTTCACTTTTATTCACACATACCAACAGCACACTGAACACCCCACCAAAAACCCATGCAAATGATATACACACCACCCCAGGCATTATAGGGCATCCCGCCAAGTGTCTCTCTGCCCCAAACATTACAATGCAATTGTTGTTTCCTTTAACGTTATTCCTTCTTAAAATGGGTGAAAGAAAGGTACAGTAACATTAGATGCAGGTGTTTAATTAAATCCCAAGCACAGTTTCAGACACAAGTCGCCAGAAATTGTGAACTTCATTCCAGTGAACTTCTGTGGACTTGACCTGGAAATTAGGAAAACACCTGCATCCAGTATTTATCTTAGATTTGTCATTTCTCTCGCCTATTTTAAAATTCAGTGAGGGGTCAGTAAAAGCTCATTAGAATGAAGAGCACAATTTTGACACAGTGCACAGGGAGGTCTACTTTGGGGGATTTGTTTGTTTGCCCGTTTTAGACCGAATAAGGAAACAGCTATATATACAAAATAACGTCTGTGAAACAGCGCCCCCTGCGGTTTAGACGGTCAGAAAAGCCTTATCAGTTGGAGCACAAGTCCCGCCTACGACTCACCTCATTGGACAGATTCTCTGCCGTAAACCTGATCTGCCTTCCAATTAATCCATTCCAAACATCTACGTGCGCAGGTACATTTGTTAGCCAAACAAGGTAAGCTAGCTTGGCAGAGCCATAAAGATAATTTCCCCTGGTATGTTCTAAAATTTATTTCACATTGTTGTACTTTATGTTGTGATGCCTTTTCAACTGAAAAAACAAACAAATAAATAAATAAGTAGATAATTAAATAAATGGAGCTATAGGCTACTGACATGAAGGCTTTTCAGTTCACCACTGCAGTCTGATGTCTGATACAAGAGTCCTGCTGTACCTTTCTGATGTTCACCCAGTGTGTATGAGCCAGGGCAGTCTTAATGATAGAAACCTCTCTGTACAATTCCACAAAACCACTGCAAATTACGTGCTTCAAAGTAAGGAATCAACACTACTCCAGAACTGTTTCAACAAAAATCGAACATTCATTTCATGATAACAGGACTAATGGGTTTGCTAGGTGTACTGTAACCAACCTGTTGTGTACACCGTCTTTGGATAATTGTCATCATAGTTTAATAGTTACATAATAGTTTTTATGAAATGGTAATTGGGCACTTTTTGACATCTGTTGTACTGTACATGGTCATTACGGTAATGACACCATACCCTGGTGTTACCATAGCAACTGGTGATTTGGTCACAATGCATGACCGCAGAACTGGTAGAATTCCCCATAGTACTCAACTTTCGTGGCACTGACTAAATTACCATGCCTTTTTTTTTTTTTTTTTTTGAAAGTACTACCATGGTAAGTTACAGATGGCTGTCACATTACAATGTCAGAGTGCAGCACCAGAAGTAAGTCTGCCTGACTGCAGTTACTGGAGGGGGGGGGTTTGCAGGCATCCATCAGCACTAAATGGAAGTGATAGTGTGCAGAGAGGTCCTAATTACTGTCTCAGTTGACTAATTGTCGTCTCTGAAGAATGAATTCCCACTGAGGTCCTAGAGATCTCATTGGTAGCACTGCTGATTTCAATATGCTGCAATGTTCAAAGGCATTGCTGAAACAAAGCCACAAGTGGGAAATGTAAATATACTGAGCTCAAACCCACCATCATTAGAGGCTCGAGTGAGGCGCTGGTTGTATGGTGCATTTGCAGGGAAAACACTGTTACACTGTAGCTGAGAAAAGGAACCGGTTCATATGTGTTTTAGTGCAAAGGGAAAAGTGTGTGAGCTTTTGTATGGCCCTTCTTCAACTTGCCAAAGCATTAAAACATCTGTAGCTGTCATCCAGGCATAATAGGCTGATGAAGTGAGACCACTGTTGGCTTTCTAGAGCCAACCATGTTAAAATAAACTTATAACATTGTGAATAATGCAGTAGAAATGAGCCTTTAGTACAGGGTGAGTGGACTGAATGAATGTCTTCTCTTTCAGGGTCTTACCATTCAAAGTGCATCAGCTTCTCGTTTCCATGGTTTCCTTCCCTGTGCCATTGCTATCTTTCTAACAGTCTGCCTGCACACGAGAGCAAGGGGGAGAGACAGAGAGAGAGTGACAGAAGGACTGAAGGCTTTTAGGAGTGGTTATCTCTCCTTTGCATAAAGTCCCCTTTGCATTACCCACCGCATGAATGGGGTCTGAATAAACACACCAGCCACCTCATATGGAAGCCTCCCTGGGTTACAAGTGAGTGGGTGTGTATAAACTCATCTAATTTGTGGTCTCTTTTAAAAATGACACAGTTTGATCATGGATGAAAAAAAGAGCACATCTCCCAAATCGCACAGGGTATTTTCCTATTAGTTACATGGAGCTAATTCATTTAACATCATTTTGAAACAATTTGCCATATCCATCATGGAACCTTTTCTACTGGTTTATACACATGATCTCATTCTGCCTGGCTTACTGGGTAGTGAAAAGTTAGTGGAACTATGACTGCTGGGTGGAGGCGACAGTGGTGCGGTGGGTGGGAGCAGTTGTCTCCCAGGTTGAAGGTTCGAATCTCGGTGCCTCCAGTCCACGTGTTGAAGTGTCCTTGGGCAAGACACTGAACCCCCCCGTTGCCCCCGATGGTTAGAGCCATCGGTTGAGTTGGTGCTACAGATGGCTGCCATCGGTTCTGTACCGGAAACAAATTCCTTGTGTGTAACATACTTGGCCAATAAAGGTGATTATCCTTGTTAATAGATAATGTATAAAACTGACTTGGTTTTGAAGACATTAACTGTTAATGTCTTTAAATGCTTTATATCTATTTGAGAATTAAGTCAAACATTTGAGGCAGCCTTAATTCTACTTTGCAAAGCATAATTTGGGTGTCATTGGGTGTCGGCACCTGATAACTTATTAAGCTTAGTGCAGTACCTTGTATTGGGCCAGGGGGCATTGTAACTTTAAGAGGAAAACAGCGTGCCTATCAGTTGGTGTCTTCTCCCTGAGCCCAGTAAGCATTCCTTTCAAGCTGAGTGAAGCTCTCCTGACGGAAACCCTGAATTTCTCCGTAATTATGCTAATGGTCCAGATGGTAGCATGATGAGTGCCATTCTCTTTGATATTCTCACACTGCAGAGTGCTGGTGTGCAGACCCACACAAGCTGACACACGTTCAAAGTCACTGTTCACACTACTGGAACCCATGTAATTGCTTCTCATCTTCAGTTTAGCTGATACAAGCGCCCTCTTCACTATTAAATGCATTTACTTTTATTTGTGAAGGGATTTTTGATAGATCCACTAATATAATGCAGTAGCACTTCAGTAAAAAAAAGGGTTTAGGTGTCAGTACCTTTTGCTTTCCCACACATTACTTATAATTTCTCTATTCTACAGTCTAATAAAGACACAACCCATAACAAAAGTAGTAGCCTACTTAAAGAATATTTAGTGACATTAGAGTGACTTTATTTTGTAGTAGCCTATACAATATAGACACTAATGCACACACAGGCCAACCATTCACACTTGCGTCGCACAATGAGAGTGTTCATCCAGGCTTCTGACGCTGGTGACGCCTACTATGTCAAAGAGCTCCTTTCACATCTCCGCCAGGATTAAATAGCTCACCACCCTCTCAGGACGGGGCTGCACCAATTGCTCCAGCTGATGGACTGGCCCACGAAGAGCTGCTTATTGAGTGTGGATGCTGACAGGGTGAATGGAGTGTTAAATCAATAGCATGTAGCCCATGCTAGGGCTGCAGATACCCATCTTCCTGGTGCAACGTTTGAACTCACTAATCAGATGGAAACGTGATAGGCCTACGTACAGTCTTGCACGTCTTCCCTCGAAATACTTCACCAGCAGTGGAGCCTTTGTGTGTCTGCCACACACACCTTTACATCGAAGGATGGCTCAAACTCGAGAATAGTTTGTTGCTGGAAGGCTTTCAAGTCTAAAGTGGAGTGATTTGCATAGGTTAAATATTCGAGACTTTCAGCAGCTCTGTCGATATACGGATTTGCTGTTCTGCCTATTTTAATTCCCTCCATCCCAACTCCTCCTGCATTTCTGGAATGATGATGAAAAAATGTTGGCCATTGTTGGAAGGTTGTTGCTTGAAAACCCCTAAAAGAGGTTTAGAAAGAGAACATGTGAACGACAGAGCCTAAAGGTGGCCTAAATAGCCTACTCGAGGGCACGGGAGTATAAATAGTGATATCCTGCAAACATTAGATTATGCTTGTGAGCAGATGTTGGCTAGTTTTTATGTGCAGTCTTGTGTTTACAGTTATTTCTTTCTGTGCCAAATAGAGGGAAATGCCTGTCGAGCTAATCAGTGGGCTTAATATCCCCCAGTGTGAACAGTACTGCTGCAGTAGATTTGTGTTGCTTTTGGAGTCCAATGTGCATGTTAACAGTGTCTCTGTCCGTGGTGCTGAAAAGAGGTCTCAGCGCTGAGGTTAAAACACAAGTAGCCTACTGTAAGTGCCAAATAGTATTTAGAGTTATCCTTTATCACATGCTACTTTGTTTTTAAAATAACCAAAGTTCATCAGTGGCATAATAACCTCATTTTGTCATCATATGATTTTCTGTTACAGATAAGTTTATTTTGTGAATGGATCCAAATCTATAGATACCTGCGAGTTAGACCTCACTCCAAAGTTGCTGTGTACACTTAAAATGTTGCATTTTTACCAACGCATCTCCAGATGCATGCGAGCTTGATGCCAAGTTATGGAAGAAGAAAGAAAAAGCCTAGAAGGGTGTTTTGAAATAAACTTTCCTGCTCCTCCTCTCCATTATTTCTCTGTTACTCTTTCCACCCATCTCTCTGTTCCCTTCCTCCCTCTTTTTCACCTCTTCCTCTTTTTCTGTCTGTATCTCCTCTCTCGCTTTCTCTCCGTGTCTCTCTGGTGCGCGTTCACAACACTAACCTTGGCTCGACGTCAGAGCCTGTGCAGCAGTGCAGTATAATGGGAGCGCAAGCAACCCAGAGCGCCTCATAGGGGGCTGCATATCGCTGCTGTATCCTCTGCTTGGCGCTCTCTGTCTCTTCTTCAGCTCTCTCCAGTACCTAACCTATAGCCCATGCTTGCGCCCCCCCCTCCACACTGGGTCTGTACCCTTCGACATGGATGTCCCGCGGACCCTCGATCTGGAGTATTGTTGTTTCTTGGCGCAGTGAAGGAAGAGAAGGGGAAGGGGAAGGAATCATGCCGGGACTGCTAATGGATTTAGGGAAAGCGCAAGTGACCATGCCGTGATCTTGCGCAACCAGGGCCGCCGTCACCCTGCCTTGCCCAACAACCGTAGAAGAATTACATGGGAATCGAACCCGCGCATCGGGGGGATCAAACCACTGTGTATTTTTTAAAAACAACATGAAGATTACCTCCCATCTTCTGATGATAACCACTCTCCTTTTCAGGTCCAACCTCAGGCTGATCCTGCTTCTGTTCCTGTTTCTTGGTTACTCTCGCGGGATGCCACACGTTTTAAGATTCGGTAAGATTCTACTCATTTGATATAATCTGTAACGATGTGTAACCACACGAAATGCATACGACTGCACTGTGAAGTGTCACTAACAGGATGCAGAAGCATAAGCTATGTATCGAGACATTTTTGCCCTACTCTTGCCTTGCTTCGTAATTAACAGCGCAGAGTTACCAAGACAATTTGACCTGCACTCTAACGTCAGGGTTACTGATAGATAGTCGATAATAATGCTTCATATCATTGACTGGGAGGCTTTAAACCCAGTGTATCACGACTTCAAGGATGATGATTTCTGTGTGAGCCTTGTAACTTTGGTAGGAATTCAGCTGTAGCTCACCGGTACTCTTGTGCAACAGTTCACGACTATGGGCAGCAAAGAAAAAAAAAAACACTACCAGACTCATTACTCACATCTCCTCATCAATATCATCACAGGCTTCTGTATCTAAACGGTCTTTCAAACTGCTTTTTTACCTTGACATGTTCTTTGCAGCCAATGTTAAGATTTGAACATTATCCCCGGAGGGCTGATCAATACTCCGGAAAGTTTGATCCCTAATCCCACTGAACTGCCGTGCAGCGGACATTCCCGTGGCCTATTAAATGGCTTATTTATACCCCCATTGGCATTAATAAAAAGTGATTGTTCTGGTGTTCACTGGGGATTGGCTGAGTCACGTTGGAAGCCACAAAACCGCACAACTGTGCACCGACCGAAAGTCATCTCTCATATTGGTAGTACAGCTAACCTAAAAGTTGAGCAGTCACTTCTTTTCAAGGAATATAGTAGAATATCGCTGTATGGAAGGATGGTACTTATTAAAACATTTCTTTAACAGTTGCCACAGCACATTGTTACTGATAATTAAATTACTATGCTACTAACCCTGGCATTTCTGTACTGAAATAAATAAATCAGGGCCTCTTGCGGTTTCGTCTGTTGCTTAATTGAACCCGTCTGAGGATGAATGCGTCTTGCCGCTCCCTGTTGCATGTATAGAGTATTTCTTTGAGTGACAGGGGAGCCCCCCCCCGACAGCGGATATCATCAAGTGTTGACAGCACATCCTTACAATCCTCAATTCCCGCGGGGGTCCTGTTTAAGAGTCAGTCCGCGTCCGCAAGAGCCGCCGCTATGGCAACGGGATGTGCTTGTCTTCCTGCTGCATCCTGAGCCCAATGAGCGATTTCCCGTCTCACACGTTGTCTGACAGACGCCGGGCTTCTGTTCAGTCCTCTTTGGGGGACGGCGACGTTCCTGCATAATAGTATTTGACATCAAAGTTTCCAAATGACTAAATTCCTGCGAGAGATGGATAAAATGCTTGGTCGCCTCAGAGGGAAATTCTAGATTCGCATTCCCCGCTGAAGCTAGTCTGTGGATATTATGACAAAAAATAAAGTAGCCTACGATTTGTACTTTTGCTGCCTGTAGCCGACCTCGCCATAGGCCGAGAAAGTATCTCGCCTATGTTGACACTGTGGTTGTGCAAGGCATTTTGCACCAGTTCACGACAGTCATGATGATGTGAGCTCAGTGGTCATTCATGCCACTGAGATATTTTTGCTCTGAGATCAAGCTCATGTTTGTTTTGTTGTCTGTGTTCTGGTGGCAGTGGTACGACCGGAGCTGCTGTCCGTGCGGCCGCCTTCAGGACCACGGACAGAGACCCGGCTCTTTAGCAGCGCTACATGCGCCTCTTGCTGACAAAAAGAGCCCAGTGCTTTCGTTTGGTAACACATTAGGTGGCATTCTTTAAAAGCCTCACTCTAATTGCACCATTTTTACATCTCTAGAGACTAAGATGTCTCAGTCTTGTGTGCTGTAATTTATTCTGTTTGGAAAAAAGATGCATTTATGTCTGTGTTTGCTTATAAAAGTGCAGAGTTCCTTAAAGGAGAAAGCTGAAAATGCGTGTGTGAGCCTTACATGTGTCACTGTGTGTATGCACGCTTGCTATGAGAGAGGCAACATAAATGCAAAGGTGCCTTGAGAGACACTGAAGCCCTTTGGACCTTTCCCACTGCATTTCTGGTCCTGCATGCTGTGCTTGCTCAGCAGATAATGCCAGCTGCTTCTTCAGGTGGCTGGCTACATGAGGAGGTCAGCTCCCCCGGGTCTGCCTGTTCCCTTCTTGCCTAAGTTCCATTCTGCCCAGACAGGCGGCATGTATTGTTCAACCACTGTTCTCCTGTCAGAGTGAGACCTTTACACACACATGCACACATATTCTGACACCAAAGCATAGTCAGCCCTTTGTATTCGCAGCATCGGTCTCACCATGTAGAGCGACAAGTGTCAGAGAGGAAAAAAAAAACAAGAAACGTTCAGGCCACCAGCTGCAGGCAAATATGCTGAGCTAATTCCTCCACAGAATTGAGTTATTGTGTTGACTGTTGCTCATTTATAAATCTTGGAGGTAATTTATTTACTTAGATAATAAAATGGACCCAGTGCGGCCCTTAGGAGGGAGATGTAATAAAATACGCTTCAGAGAAGATTCTTTTATAACTAGTTCACGCTTATTTTTTGAGAGCACTGAATGAGATTTTGTAGCTACTGTACCGATACTGCCAAGGGTCTCAGAAATCCAGAGCAAGGTGGGCGGGGTGTTAAACATGAACTCTAGCTTAGCTGTATTTCAGTAAAAGAATGGAACTTTATATTGAATTTGCAATCTGACCTGTGGTTTGCTAAGATTGATTGTTTCCCCAAACTTAAATATATTATATTTTTAATAGAAAGAATGTCAGGAGAGTCTGTAATATCCAACCTTGTGGAAATTATTTCAGTACAGTGGTATTCTAAGTTTCTGATTTGTCACATGACTAGTTAGAATTCAGAGAGGCAGAAATTCAGGGCTGCATCAAAGTCTCTAGCATCTTGTGACAGCTAAATGGAAGGCTAAAAAAATGGAGCTTGTTTTACTTTCTTCCATGGAAACAGCATTGTATGTCCATGATCTCATTTAGCTGTCCCCACAACAAATGTGTAGTCACACACACAATGAGTCATCACATCTGCCATTCTGTCAGTTGACTGAGTTTTTCTTGCAGACATGCATCTTATTCATAAAACTTACTAGGAAGAAATTAAGAAGAAAAACAGTGAAACTGACTTAGTGTAGTCAGTCTGCGGCTGTGAGCTGCAGTGATAATGTTATCACCGCCATCGTCAAACAGCAATGGCAACTGCAGTATGTCCCTGGGCTGTCAACTGCCGCTGAAAGCATTGTTGACTCAGAGATGCTCATTTTATTTGTTTATTTTCTGTTTATGTTTATATATTACCAGTACAGCCATGTCTGGGAATATTTATGGCTAAAACACAACAGTGGTTTTCATTTTGGAACAGAAACCAAATCGTTTTTTTCAGTCCTCTGGCAAAAGACACGTTCCCCTTTGGTGAAACCTATGTTTATCTAGCTACTTCCACAATGCTGTGCCAAGATAAAGGTCCTTTATTGCATTCCTAATATTTAACACACTTTTCATCCCCTCGACTGTGTTAATGTTGGTGAAATTACAAGGTTGTCAAGAACAAGTGAGTGTAGAGGGCACAAATTCAAGTAGAGTTTGTAGTTAATTTACTTTATTTGCTTTAGTTTCCTGCCAGGCTGAATTATCAGTATCCTGGAGTTTAGTTTGGGATTGTAGGAATTACAAATAACACCCTGTGCCCTGGCCCACCGCCAACATGTTCACAGCAAACACACTTAAATAGACACAAAGCTGCTTATAATATTCATGTGTCACTTGGTCCCGCCACAGCTTATAGAAATATGAAACCAACTCCTCTCTGCTAGCAAATGATTTCCATGGTTTAAAAATACCCACTATGGGTTTCAAGAACAAAGAGGAGATCTGTCTTACATTAGCATGCGGCACCACACATGAGCTCGAAGCCGGGACCTATTTCGATGGGTTTCTAAAACATGTTTACAGTCCTGAGTCTTTGAAGGTCTTGCTGTCATGCTTCAGTTAAAAAAGGCTCAGTGGTGATTAATGAAAATGGGAAATATCTGTGAGGTATGAAATTAGTTTTCTTGTTGCTTAACATTAAGTCAATCTTTTTTTTTTTTTTTTTTAAAGATTTGCCAGCTACATTCAAAACAATTATGTACATTAAAGGAGGCTTTAGAGGCTTGACCTTGTTTGCAGAGTGACCAGTCTGAGCGTAATTGCCTCTTCTGATTATTTTTGCATCAAATAGAATTCACCTGAGAGCTATGTTCTTCTACTGCCTTGGGGAGGGTTTGACTTCTGTATTAGCTTTCATTATTCCCAGCTTATCATTCTTTGTCATTGTCACCCAGGGATTTCCCTGGGTATCAGAGGGGTTAGGGGTTGTAGGTGCAATTGCTCTGTAAAACTGTCCCTTGAGAAGAACCCTGCAGCATGTCTTTCTGTCTAGTCGTCTGGCTTGGAGCTGGCTGAAGGTCAGAGTGAAAAGGTTCACAAGAAATTTGATTGGTTTTATTATTATTATTATTGTTATTTTGCATCTTTTAACACACAGAGCTGTTCACCTCACAGTCTCGCCAAGAGAGATGGAAGAAGATTTGAAGTCACTGAGAGGTGTAAGAAAAACAAGTTGTTAGAGAAAGAGTCTTTGTAAAGTGTGAGCGGGAAGAAAAACAGCGAGTGCTGTGACCAGCAGATACAGGGTGCAGATAGATTAGTTTGCCTCAGAGCAGTCCACTCACTTGTGGTCTTTTATTACTGTTTTGTGATGACTTCTGTGAAAGGAGACAGGAAGGACAGTAGAGTATACTGTGGAAATATAGTGGCAGAACAGGAGCCGTGCATTGCAGCTGTGAATAAATGTCAGCAGTATAATATTAGCAAGCTAAGAATTTGCCGGGGATGACAGATATGCATGAAAAGGCTTTGAGGGGAAAGAAAAATTTTAAAAGCCTCAGTAACAGGCCCCTTGAGATACTAAACGCAAAGATGTATTTTTATTAGCTCCTCATGTATTTATCTATAACGTCTCATTAAGTATT